GACAGGCGTTGACAAGGTAAAATTCTCTTTTTAAAAGAGGGAGATTGTTATACATGATTCCACCAGGGCCAAAGGGGGAGCTAAAGGCGAGAGTCCTAAGCTCAGCGGTTACCGGGAAACGGGAAACCGGAAAGCGGGAAAGCGGGAAGCGGTGGTTCAGAGATTGAGGTGTTCGTTATTTCGATGGCTATCAACATCGACGGCCGCCTTGGAGACAGAAAGGGCAATGACGGAGGTCTTGGCGGGGGAGGGGAAATCGCTGACTAATGGCCCTCTGCTTCTGAGGCTGGTTGCATTGTTTGACTAAGTCTCCGTTTGACTTCACCTCGTGGGAACACCGCTTGGAGGCGTTTGTGGTGAAGGATGTAGAGAGCAAATATGCTAGGAGACATATCTGCCATGGCACTGAATCCATTCTGACCATCAAAAATTTCGAGAATTTTCTGTTCCATTTCTTTGCGTGTCCCTATTTTCACGGAGGTTACTATCGACCAGTCCCCAGCTGCTAGAAATCGGATGTGTCTTTGCACATGTTGATCTACGACCTAATAATAATCCCACGATAGAGTCAACAATGGTCACCGCTTCGGCATTGCTGGTCTTCTAGATTGGGAATATAGTGGGTTCTATCCTGAGTATCATGAGCTGATCAAGAGCCCAAATGGTCTTGTCACTTCTGCGGAAGATGACTGGTACCTGTTCCTACTGGAGTGTATTTCACCATAATTCTATGGTGTGTAGTGGTTACCAGACTACACACAGAAAGCCTTGGTGGAGTTATCATCATTTGGTTTTGGAAGGGAATGGAGGAATTTCAAATTGACACTTGATTGCCATGAAAACTAGATTAGGAATTGCAGCTTGCGTTGCCTTCAATCCCTTCCTGGCTGCACACTTCTCCTCATCACCCTCTTCCAAAATAAACTCATCTTCTAGCTCGTTGGGAATATCAGGCACATATTCCTGGCAATCCAAATCCATGGTGTCGTTATCCACAGAGGTCGCACTGACAACCTCATACACTTTTTACATGTTGTTTTTGCTAATCGCAGCAATGAAGACTTTGTCAACAAAATCCTTGGGACATTTTAGTCTCAAATATGCAATGTTGTGCTGAAAGACCGGATGCAGTCCAATAATCTCCCAGACTACATCCTGGTCATTGGCATCAAGATACAACGCCGCATGTTTTAAGTCACCCAAGCGGGGTTGATAAAAACCAAAGCGAAGCTTTGGACCGTCCATTTGTGCTCCTCTGGTTGCGATCTTTCAGCATATGTTTTCCTCTGTAGTCCATGAAGTCCATATACCATATGCGCACAGATCAGCAGTAATATTATATGGCCACAGGTAGTGTCTCTCCATCTCAGCCTCCTCCATGCGCTTGAATATCTGCAGCAGTTCATTGCTGATGAACTGTAGCATCAGATATTAGCAAGTTGTCTCTGAAGGAGATTGAGAGAACTGGAAATCATTCCTTTCTCACGCTCTTCGAAGCCAGTCCACACTACCTAGAACAGGCTTACCTAATTTTGATAGACGGCCCTTCATTGCCTTAGCAACACTGGCCAAAAATCCCTTGTAGGTTTGTATGTCTGAAGGAGAGGGGGTGCTTGCGGATTCTTCGCATATGCCACATGGTTCTTTGCCAATGGTCATTATCTGGTCCTGAAAGATGATTCTCGCACAGGATCAATGAGCACAAATCTGTCATAGGCGTCAAGAGCTTTCTAATAGCCTCTACCGGTGCGAGGCAGCATGCTCCTGCAGACAGGTCTATTGCCATACTTGTTCATGTCAGAAACGTGTTCCTCGAGCCTGCCAAAGAAGTAGTCAGCCCTTCTAAACAGAATGTTGTATTGAAGAGACAGACTTCCAGAAAAATACTCCGTAAGGAAACTTTTTGCACATTTATAAAGCCCTTCTGAGAGGTTGAGAAACACAACGAGATGAGTGTTTCTCACTTCAGGAAGAAAATAACCGGAGCAAGAGAGGTTATACCCACACCCAGCCCCGCCCCCCCCC